AAACTGTCGTCGAAGTGTACTTTATCTTTGCGATATAAACGAAACATTTCATTCCTCGTGACCGTTCTTTGAACTTTAGTAATTTTAGATAAAAGTTCGTGGAACGTTGAATATTTCGTTTCATTAACGAGGAACACGAGAAACCGTAATTAGTACACTGTAACATTTTAATTAGTAACGAAAGCTATGGAAAAATATTTACTTAATTCTGTTCAATGCAGAAATTCAACTTTGAAACATTCTACCTTTGTTTATCGTTCTAGTGTCGACAATAATAAGAAACGTCAGTTGCAAAACGCAGAAGGCAAAATAGAAAATAACAACTTGGACGACTGTTACGTTTGATAAGAAAAAAAATAGCGATAAATTTCAATGCAGCACAAGGTGCAGTAAAGTTTAATGACTTTGCAACACGTACTAAGTGATTCCAACATAAACTTCTAGTTAGGTTCGCATTCGTTTAAGTTTTTCAAATCCATAAATCAAATACTGGACATTTTATGCTCCTATAATTTATTTCTCTTCGTTCGTATGCTCTACATTTACCTTTTTTTAAATATTCAAACGTAATAATTCAAATTTCTTATCTTACATAAGCTTCATCAGCGATTATGCATAATACTAGATTGTGCATATCAAATCGTGAACCTATTATCACAAAAATTGTGCCTAGAGTATTTAGCAAAAATTGCAAAATTAATTGATAAAAATTTGAAAAATCGATCTGTTACAAAGAGAACGTTCATTGTAACAATTAAAGTAATTAGTCGGTAAGATTAGAAAGATTGTTTTTTTAAGTGGTTTCTGTCAGAAAATAGATATACGACTTGTTTTACGATGGAAATTTGTGCCGTCGTGTATAAATTGTTGGAATAATCGATAAGAGAGAAATTGGCGATTTGAATAACTCACCGATCCGTCTTTTCGTGCCCATGTGAGAGTATGTTTGCGCCAGTGTTCCTTGTACGGTCGTTTCTTCTGACATTCGATCGGTTTCGAGTAATCGTACTCGTCGACTCGTTCCTGTAAACATAACGATCAGTTCGTTTAATTCTTATAGGAGTCAGAGAAGAAATGCAAATACGTATGCATAACATACCTTGTAATCGTCTCGGGCGTGCGATCCTCGAGACTCTTTCCTGTTCTCCGCTGCGTAAACGATGTGCATGCTAACCAGCATCATGTTTTGTAATTCTATGGCTTCTACCAGTTCTGTGTTCCATATGAGAGACTGATCTTGTACCTGGAGTATTATGGGGATCTTGTAACGTGTAATATTTTCATAGAATTGATAAGAGGATCTTGAAAGTTTGTTATTTTGTAATTAAATATTTTGTAAAATAAATAAGAGGATCTTTAAAATTTTACATTTTACAATTGAATTTTTTATAAAATATATAGGAGCATCTTTAATGTTTGATATTTTGTAATTGAATATTTTGATATATTGATAAGAGTATCTTTCAAATTTTACATTTTGCAATTAAATATTTAACAGATTTTGTAAAATAAATAAGAGGATCTTTAAAGTTTGATATTTTGTAATTAAATACTTTACAGAATAAATAAGAGGATCTTTAGAGTTTGTTATTTTGTAATTAAATATTTTACAGAATTGATAAGAGGATCTTGAAAGTTTGTTATTTTGTAATTAAATATTTTACAGAATTGATAAGAGGATCTTGAAAGTTTGTTATTTTGTAATTAAATATTTTACAGAATTGATAAGAGGATCTTGAAAGTTTGTTATTTTGTAATTAAATATTTTACAGAATTGATAAGAGGATCTTTAAAGTTTTACATCTTACAATTGAATATTTTGTAAAATAAATAAGAGGATCTTTAAAGTTTGATATTTTGTAATTAAATACTTTACAGAATAAATAAGAGGATCTTTAAAGTTTGATATTTTATAATTAATTATTTGACAGGATAAATAAGAGTATCTTTAAAGTTTGGAGTGTTTTAGGAAGTTTGTTTAATAAGTGTTGAAAGGAAATAGAGAATAAAGTAATGAAAAAATAATAGTAAATAATTGAAAAGGTTTTAATTAGGAGAGAAACTTCATGTTGGCTTGATACATCAATTTTTAACGAACAATTGGATTTTACAGTACTGGAAATTTTATGTAGAAAATGGAAATTAAATGTAAAATGAGCGAGACTATAACAGCGCAGGTTTGCTATGTCACGTTTCGTACACACCAGGTGTGTCAACGATGGCATAATTTGATAATCTCGTTATGTACGATTTTAACGTATGTTTTATAAACGAGACGCCAAGTCTTCGAAAAATTCGAAGAGTAAAATTCGAATTTAATTTAATTTTACATTAATCATTTCGCAAAACTTATGACAAATTTTACAGTCGAAATTTGGTCTCGAGTGACATGCGTACTTTAAAATTCTGCAGTTCGTATTTCACAGAAAAAAGTTTGCAAAATATATCGAAATCAGAATTAATACGAAGACCAGAATAAAAATTTCAAGATTCGTTAGAAATAAAAAAAAAGGTTGATACAGAAACACTTTATATCTTTCACGAAAATAATTTGCAAAATGTATCAAAAACAGGATTAATACGAAAAGCAGAATAAAAATTTCAAGATCCATTAGAAAGAAAAGAAAAAAAGGAATCGATCCAAAAACTCTCAAAATCCCATTCACCCTTTGAAACCACTTAAATTACGTCCAAAGACATTCTCATATCACGGTAATTAGAAAAGACTAGAATTGGGTGGCCAGTTTCACGTGATCACAATTACATAACCGAACGGCTGTAGCAACGAAAAATGGTACGTCGAGCTACTATGCTTCTCGATCTTACGTCAATGGGAACATTTCGATCAATTCACCTACACATATATCCGGCAAATCGCAGGTATAAAGTCGCGTCATCTCGCGACATCCTCGTTGCAGTATGTCGCAGGTACGAAACACCGAGCAATATTTATGCATAGTTTGTTGCATCTCTTCCCGCAGCTCGGCGATAGGAATGCAACCTTTTGCGTAACGAGTCGCGTCGAAACGGCAAATAGATTCCTCGCCAACAGCCTGCAATCGCAAGTGCTTGAATATAGTTATCAGTGGCAATAATAATAGGCAGTTAATAATAGGCAGTATTTTATGTTTCACCGCCTTATCTTCGTCGCGCTTCTTTTTCTTCTCTTTTTGTTTTAGTTGGAGTTTCGTTGTTGAATAGCGGTGTGTGTCGGAGAGCTCGCGAGGAAAATGAACGAAAGATTATAATCGATTAAGCGGATTAGATCGAGGCTAGGTTTTGTAGATTTTCATTCGACGAACGAAGATATTCTTTTTTATGTATATCGAGGTTGAATAGCGTAACAGAAAATAATGAAAAGTGAGATTAGCAAGAGGTAAAATAAGTTTAATATTTTTTTAAAGATGTTTACTATTCTGTCGGGATAATTTTTAATTGATTAGGAAATTTGAAACAGTGCTCGTTGCGTGTTGATATTCATATTTAAAGAAGAAACCTTCATTTGCGGAATAATTTATGGTTTACTTTGACACCGTCACTTTAAAGTGTATTCAGCGTTTACAAGAATATCTTCTTTCGTGTGAGAATCACAAAAATATTTTTCGACTATGAAAAATTTCAAAAAAATTCTTTTCGCTATTTTTCAGATATGTAGATGTAAGTTTTCTGTCTTACAGGAAAGATGGAAGTTGAAAATGAATCGTTCAGTCTTTCGATTATTCGCAACTCAACAATCCGTGAATCATTTCATTCTATTAGCTTTAGTTAGAAACAGAACAATTTGACCTCAATTTTACGACGTTAGTGAACATTGTTTCTAAGAACCAATGCAAACGAAATGGTTTCTAACAAGTTTTGCACAATTAGCACCTTGGGAAAGATATTCCTCAAGCCTTGCATCCAATCGTGGCATAATTTCCTCAAGTGAAAGCTCAATTACATCGAGAACTATTGTAAAATTAATAAAAATAATTGAAGTTCATCTTTTACCTCAAAATTTAGCGTATCGCAAAATTTACCTATCGTACTTTTTCGATTAATCCTTCGATGCTACTTTGAAAATTTTCTATCGCAACACGGAAATGTGAGAAATTTGTAAAAATCTTTATGAGTAATACTCAAGTGAAATTTCTTAATCTAACAAGATTTTCTCATTTTGCCGTCGTTACTGTATTGCAAGAGCTTCGACTGATACCACGTTTTATATAACAAAGTAGATAGCAGATTAAAAAATGCTCACTTTCAACTATCTTAGCAAGTTTGGTCGTGAAACATCGTAAGGAAAGAAGTATTGCATAAATCTTCCTCAGAACGTGATTTATATAAAGTTATTACAAACACACGTGACTCGAGGGGATTTACCTAGAGAGAAGCTTGTTGTTACTTTGATAAAGACAGAGGGAGAAACGAACGATATTTATCTTATCTATTAACCCTTTGCACTCGGAGGTCATTTTGTAACAGAAAAGTTTGCAAATCGAAGGTTTGAAATTTTTTAAAATTAACGCAGAAATAAACTATACTATTTTACTTAAATATTCAACGTATTCTCTATTACACTATAATGAACAAATTTATAGAGGCACCATAGATCTGCTCTCTGACTTGATTAATTATTCACCAAGTGACGATTGTTTAATGTCGCATCTCAGTCACCACTCGATTACAAAGGGTTAATTCACGTTTCATTCATGACTTCAAACATGAATCACACGGTTAATTACGTAGATTACTCAATGGCTACTGAAATCTGATTTTAGAAAAAAATGGTACAATAAAACTTGTTTTGAAAAATAACTATCTCATTTGCATTGCAAATACACCAACTATTCTACTTCTATCGAAGTACTTTTGCGCGATATTTCTTCCTAGTTATCTAACACATTGCCAATCTTGACAATTGCCATTAATCAAGGAAATATCTATCAAATCTTCCACACTTCCTGCTATACTAACACACTTTACTTACCATACTCGATACGTATCAACAGAAAACATTTATCTTTATCCTACCTAAAAAAGTTGCAAAAAGTTTCCTCAAAATACGCGACAAATAGAGCAAAATTCGCAAAAATACGGTAAGAAATTTGAAACTTGGGTGCACAATGCACACAGTCATTATCTACTATCGAAGGTTGGTTTCTCCTTCGTGAGTGGCCACGTGACGAGGAAAAACGAGTCATCTGAAAAACCTTAGCCAAAAAAAGCACGCGAATGTCTGCAAAGGTGTACGCGAAGGAATGCGATTTCGACCGTGAAGCCTCATTGAGAATTCCGTGCCGCGTGTTGCAAAACGTCGTGACCATAAATCATACTCTTACGGATGATAAATCGTCGTGGCGTTCACCGGGTCTGGTCATACATTCGATCTGATCGGCGATCGCTTTGCCGAAAACGACCAACTCCAGAAGGCTGTTGGCGCCTAAACGATTGGCGCCGTGAACCGACACGCATGCGGTTTCTCCAGCCGCCCATAGACCTTCTATCACCGAGTCTTCCTCCTTCTCTCGTGTCAGAACCTTGTAGATGGAACGTCGAGCAGGTGATTTCATCTTGTCAACGATTGCGGTTTAGTTTAACACGTTCACTGTCACGTCAGATTTACGTGTTCCGCTCTCAGGGGGGCGAGAGGAGAATTTTCATTATTCTAAGCATAGTATTGTATTATGCTTTGTTATGGTGAGAATGATAGGAGATTTTTGTAACGAATGGATAGGATAGAATGATGCGAACGAAGAGTGCTGGAGCTAGAGAGATAGAGGTGTGAAAGAAGAGTGCTGGAGCTAGAGAGATAGAGGTGTGAAAGAAGAGTTTGGAAGGAGTATTTGAGAATATCGTGTGACCGGAGAATGATCAAAATACTTGGTGTCTGCATGTTTTCGAAGAGTGTCTGCCTGGAAGTGGAAGAAATAGAGAGCTAGAGAAAGAAAGAATACGAGGGTGTAAGGATAAATGAGGGTGAATTAGCGTAGCGCTGTGAGTTTAGAACATTATATTAGGTTCACATACAAGATATCTAGAATATACAGACTTCATTGGAACCGAGAGTTCCAAAAGTCAGTACCTCTATCAGCCCCAATAAATCCTACATTGTTATTATTTTTAAAAATTCGAAATAGTGTCTAGTTAGCTATGACGTTCGAAATTTTTAGTCGACGATATTCATTTTATTTGAATTACTTTAAACATTTGGGACACTCCGGTCACAGGTGACCAACGTGACAGTGAACGAAGAGAGCGAGTAACGCTCACCTGTGCTCGCCAGTTCGTAGGTATTCCACCCATGTTGTAGTGCACCGTGGGAATGACAGGAATCGGTTCTTTCTCCACGTCCACGCCGGCGAACACCCAGGACAGATGAGAAATTCCTGGCAGTCGTGTGCGTATCGTTTCGACTGGTAGATGATGAAGTTGCAGGAACGCGTGATCTTTCTTGGGACCCACGCCTCTGATTAGACGACAGATAGATAGAGTGTCTGACGATAATCGGCGATACAGAACCAAGGTTGACCTTTCGAGATGTGGCGTTAAATCGAATAGGCAAAAAATTGACTTGCACCACTTTTGCATTAAACGGCTTAATTATGAAAAAGTAGTTATTTTTCTAGTTTTGTGGACTTTGTTTTACATGTTTTTCATACACCTCTGGGTAAAATTTTGGGATCACTGTGCGTTGGAAGTTACAGTGCACCTGAAGAATTTAATTATCCTGCCTCTGTCCCGATTACGCCAGACAATCGGAATTCTACTGTGTATAGTAAAGTGAATAATAGAAAAACTATTTTCAAATTTTTCCCTCCGATTTTGAAACCTGCGCCATGAACATTTGCAGAAAGATTCTTAACACGTTATGTTAATAAATACCTATTCTTATCGTAGCCGGTCAAATGACAAATACACAAATACAGGTGATTGTCAATTTAACATAGGAAACAACACGGAAAATAGCCTTTAGATACTAATAAAAAAAGCGTATCTCTAGAAGTGAGAATCACCTTCCTTCGAATATTTCCATGGTTATGGCTCTGGATACTACGTCACGAGACGCTAGATCCTTGGCGTTCGGCGCGTATCGCTCCATGAAGAACTCTCCTTGTGAATTCATCAGCTTCCCACCTTCCCCACGGCTGCCTTCTGTTATCAAAATACCGCTGCCGTATATTCCTAGCGGAAAAATCGACCGGTTAAACGCGGAAAGCATTTGCACTCGCCGTCTATGTTCTCCTTTTTTTTTTTTCCCACGGGAATACCGGTTGGATGAAACTGGATGAACTCCATATCTTCAAGGGGCAATCCTGCTCTGGAGACCATCGCCATACCATCTCCTGTGCATGCATGAGCCGCTGTACAGGACAGGTAACATCTTCCTGCTCCTCCCGTAGCTATCACCTATGGGGGGGAAAAAAGTGAAAGCTTGTTTATCAGTGTTCGATGTTTGACGTCAGCGTGCGTTTCGCAGAATTACGCGGTAATATGAGGCTACGGATGACGTCATCTACGAGCGGTGCAATTCTGTTCGCAACGTCAAAAAGATAATAAATGTGGCGATACTGAGAATTGTGTTTAACATTTGAATATTTTTTAGACAATTGTGTAACAGTATGAGTTTAGAATAACATTGCTTTCGTATCGTTTCGTAAGGTATTTAAACTTTTTGATATATTAAGTCGTTTTCAAAATTCCCGCGGTTTTGAGCCGCTAATTTTGAAAAAAATTGAACTGCGTTAAAATTGAATATACTTGTTTCAAATAATTTTCATTGTTTTCGTATCTTTTCGAAGAGAAATATAATCGAACTAAATAATTTACAAGTTATTTAAACTTTTTGATATATTAGGTAATTTTGAAAGTTCCCGCGGTTTTGAGCCGCTTATTTTGAAAAAAACTGAACTGCCTTGAAATTGAATATTTTAATTTAAAATAATTTCCAAACTCTAATTGTAAGAGAAAATTTGGACAATTTTTTACCAAAGTTTGCTTATGTCCTGATAAGAATTATTCCATTTCTCCCAAGCGTAATCTGAATAGACACAGTGTTTGTAAATCGATGTTACGTTAAATCGATAACTCTTTCGCTGGCAAGATTGCAAGAGGCCCACATTCTATATCGTTATGAAACAAATATTTGGTCTAAATAGTCAAGGGTCAACGTTTACCGTATGGTGAGCCCTGAAGCGATGCAAAAGTCCGGTTTCTAGTTCCCATGCTAAGATGCCCTTGCAACACCGTCCAAGCATAAGAAGATCAAGGGCAAAGTACTCGACGTAATAATGCACTTCGTAACGTAGGCTCTGTCCATATAAGGTGTGCAGTATTGCGTGACCGGTTCTATCCGCAACAGCACAAGTTCTGTGAGCTTGACCGCCTTTTCCAAATTTTAACGACTGGCCACCGAATGCACGCTGATAGATCTTTCCGTCCTCTGTACGGCTGAAAGGACAACCTGAAGTTCGGAAATCTCTAAATTTTATCCAGCATCTGACAGATAGTCTAGAAGATTCTTCAGAGTTTCATTTGTAGTAGAGGACAATTTAACAATCCTCGAAATTTTTTTACGAATGAAATTAAACGTTCGAAACTTTTTTCTTTTTATTGAATTTATGATGGATAGTCTATTTATAAAGGAAATTAGAAATTTTCAATTATGATTCAAATGTGATTTATAATTTAATTTTGTTTTTTTTTTTCGTAGAGTATTTATGTTATTTCACCAAAGAAGTTTAATTGGTTATTTTAATTTGTAGTTAGGATGATGATTTGTTTGGAAATAAGGATTACCAAAGTTCTCGAGTTCGTAGACCGCTCGAGATGCCTCCCTTGTTAGAAAATGTATCGCATCCTGATCTCCTAACCAGTCAGATCCTTTAACAGTATCGTACATGTGATAAAGCCAATTATCATCTGTTCCACTGTCAATGGCGGCATTTATTCCACCTTGGGCGGCTACAGTGTGAGATCTTGTTGGGAATAATTTTGTAATCACTGCCACTCGGTATCCTTTACTTCCTGTATGAAAATAAGAAAATAGAAACGACAGCACTGAAAATTAATATTTGGGTAATAGGCACATTAGAGATTCAACGATTTGAATGGAAATTTATGAAATTATAAAATTATAAAATTATGGAATTCTGAAATTATGAAATTCTGAAGTTAGGAAATTAAGAAATTAGGAAATTAAGAAATTAGAAAATTAAGAAATTACGAAATTAAGAAATTAGGAAATTAAGAAATTAGGAAAATATGAAATTAGGAAATTAAGAAATTAGGAAATTAAGAAATTAGGAAAATATGAAATTAGGGGATTAAGAAATTAGGAAAATATGCAATTAGGAAATTAAGAAATTAGGAAAATATGAAATTAGGGGATTAAGAAATTAGGAAAATATGCAATTAGGAAATTAAGAAATTAGGAATTTAGGAAATTACGAAAATATGAAATCACGAAATTAGGAAATTAAGAAATTAGGAAATTAAGAAATTAGGAAATTAAGAAATTATAAAATTAGGAAATTGAGAAATTATGAAATTAAAAGTTGTAAAATTATTTATAATGTAATTACCCAAACCAAAGGCTGCTCTCAATCCTGCACCACCCGCGCCTACGATCACGACATCGTAACAGTGATCTATTAAGGGATAATTCTGTAAAGAGTATTTAAAACAGAAAACGTATCATTCTTCATATCTATATATTCCGCAAAAACTCTATACTAATAACTGTTACTCAAACTTCTTTACATTATCACTATTCTCTGTTCCACATTTAGCCTTTTCACCTGGACTGACGTTTACATGAAAGCTTCGACATCTGTTCCACTTGATACATTCAGATTGTGAAATAAATTGCTGCAAAAGGGTGCAATTTAAAAATTCAACTACCTCGAAATCAATATTCCAATAATCGTTATTCCTTACAAGAAGTCGTGGCAGTCTATTCACAGATCGTAACATTATTCCATAAAGTCCGAGTGTAACACGAAGTACAACTATACCACACGAACAATCTGTCTGTCATTCATTTGCTCGTCATTTGATAAAAGAAATAAAACAGAAGTAAATACACACGTTACGACTGTTTTCAGGTTGCAAATGAAATTATCATTGTATTTTGTACAAGCATAACTTTATTGCACTTGCAAAAATACAGTTCAAAACATAGACAATTTGTTGTTATATTATTACGACAGTATACAATTAGTTCAGCTTAGATTCCTTGCTCGCGACATTTATAACTTTCTTCCTCAACATTTTTCTTCGTCTCTAAATTGTCTCTTTCATATTTCTTTCCTTTTCGATACCACAGAGCAAAATTCTAACGATAATACGCTTTCTCTAAGATATTAACGCTACATTTGTATTAATTACTTTTACTTTCTTTCTGTAAAGGGAGATCTTTCGTTAAATTTCTTTGTAAATGTCGACAGTGCGTTTCGCTACACACCCGTAATTTGTTCATTTTTAGTATCGACGGATTAATCGTTGTTATTCCAGCGCAAAAATTGTACCAGCGACTCACCCTATCTTTAATAAATACCCTTAAAATTACACTATAATCGTTTCGTTACAGACACACGTATTTAAAATGCGCGGATTCGAGTAGATATGTGTGATTGATCGGTTTCTTCTCTCAATTCGTTGTGCTCGTTTGATAATATAAAAAAGCTCGTAAAAAAATTGTTACTCGGGGGTAAACGGAGAAAAAAACGGGACGGATGTTAATGAACTGATCATTCGTATAGGCGCGAGGTTAAATAAGTTAAGATAAGGACACGGTTACAATTATCGATAACGAAGGACACTGTTACGAAATGATCGTCTCCGTCCTTTCGTGTGCGTGTCGCTTTAACAAAAAAAGGTATATAGAATTTATCTTAATTAAATCGTGTTCCTGTTTTATCCAAGTGATATATTGTACATACGGTTGCTCATAATTATTCGAACAATATTGATACTCTCAGCATCGAGAGAAAATAGAATTGTATCTGTTCAGTTTCTATTGTTACGAATTTTCAAATGTATTCAAAAATGTACAAGCCTTATTTTGTTATTCACATTTGAAAATAGAATTTGAAATGAAACTTCTCTCTAAATTTACTCACTTGGTAATATCGAAAATGTTACATTTTCCTACATTTTACTTCAAGTCATGTTTTTCTACTTTAAAGAACGCTAACTTTTGTTATCTTTTATTTCAGACAATAACGAGAAGTGTGCCAAATAAAGTTGACTAACGTTATCATAAAATTTTGCGACGTTAAAAATATTTTCTCCAAAAGATGCAATTTTTTATCCCTTTTTTTTCAAAGCGATTCAAATAATTATGAACGATACTATACTATAAATAACGTTTATTCTACGCTCGTATCGAGTAGAACAGTTCCGACTTGGACAATCGCACAGTGTCGGACCTAAATCACCTGAATCTTTAAGATCGAATACTCGTGCTCAACTACAGTAACAATGGAAACCCTCTAAAATCGGCGTTATTCGACAGAGATCTAACAATCGTCCAACAATTACGCAAATTACTCGCTCGGTTCTATTTCCCGCAATTGACATTAGTCGTTGAGAATTTCACGCATCTATGATTCTTCCTTGAAATTTCACGAGTGACTAGAGTACACGGATACATAGCCTTAACTCTAAAACTGCAACAATAGAATCTTCTTTCCCGGTGCTTGACAATTACTTAAAGTAACTCTTTCTCTCTTCAATTCCTTCGTGCTGATTTACATCTTCTCGTTTAGGATTCTAAAACGACGTTCTGGAATTTCGTGGCTTCTCTCTTTTCGTACAGGTAGTAGGACAGGTTGGAGAAATTTGACTCGTGAGTTGTTTCTTCCTCCTTCGAAGTCCTCTGTTGGATCGTTTCAAAGGACGAGTCTTCTGTTGCCGCATTCGCAACAGAATTTCGCGGTTTCCGGGAACTTGGAGCCGCACTCGTGACAGTATTTGGACATCTTGGATTTAGTCGTCGTTGAGATTCCGTCGCCGTCTCGACGATTGTTCCTCGACAAGTCCTCGTCGAAACGGCCGGCTACGTCGTTCGTGCTGCGTCCATGGTGCGAATATTTGCGATTTAAGCTAGGAGGAAGAAATTTAAGGAGGTTTTAGGCATGCAGGAGGTCACACAGTATAGTGGGATGACAGAATGTGATGGAAAATACGTGTAGAAATTGTAATTCGGCGTTGATCGATGGAAATTGTTGCTCGTGTGAGAAAATTACATTAACCGGTAATCAGTGACGTGAAGTTTGGGAGATTCTTGTGGAATTATTGTTTGTGTAATGTTGAAACGTGTGGGTCACACGGATTCAAGTATGTATCTCCTTAAAATTAACAAAAATTAATTTTCATTTTGTAACGGTGGAAAAGTGAGACTTCGCGTCACTGTTTCTGTGAAAAGTTACAAGTTAAGAGCTTTAAAATTTATTAAACAACGAAGAGGGAGGTTTGTAAAGTATAGCTGTTAGGGGCAATCGTGATGCTTATTGAAGAGTGAATACGAATGTTTTGAGTGTTTTTTTAGGATTTCTAAAGATAGTTGTAAAATGAAAAATGTTTATTTAGTGAATACCGATGGAAATTGTGTAAAATGGAAAATAGTAAGCGTAAGAGAAATTGAAATGTGTTCTGGCATATATCTTCCTAATAATTTTATATTATACAAGTTTCAAAATTGAATTTGTACAGAAATGATAATTTGATAAAGGAATAATTTTCATTCGTACTCACTGTCCATTAACGGCCCAATTTAAGCGACAGAAACAGAGTAAATCGTTTCGAAAATTTCGACAATTCATCGTGAATTCAACGAATATCTGATTGATCACATTACTGAATCATCGTATATTAACCTGCTATAAGCCGAGTCTCCGCTCATTTTGTTGTGATCCTGCCTCTTGTAGCTCTCCGGCGAGGAAAGTTCTCCATCGCTGATTTGTCCGTTGCGTTGTCTACCGTGAACGGGACTAGATACGGACAAGGAATCACTTTTCAAAAGGGACTTCAAGGAAGGAAACGAACAGTTCTCGTCCTCCAACGAGGTCATCAACTCGTCGAATACAGAATTCGATCGTTTGATGTCCACATCGGAGGACATTATAGAGCTCAGACTCAGATTACTGCCCGACAAATTCGTATAATTGTTATTTCTGCTGTTCAAACTACAATTCGACGATCTCTTACTATCTTTATCCTTCTGTGACAATCTCTTCTCCTGAGAATTGTTCGAAGTCTTTCGATCCGGCATCGTGGTTTTCGGCGCGGAAGAAGCTCGAACCGAAAGCGAACGATTTACCGTAGGTCGAATCACTTTAGGCGAAACTTTATCGAGAATCTTACGAGCTCTCTCGGAGCTAGCGACGAAACTTCTGCTACCGCGATTCGCATCGTCGATCAATTCTCCTCCTAACGCCTTCGATTTGTCAATGATCACACGTCTGCCTAGCTCTTTAACCGGAGATTTCCTTTCTACGTCCGACTTGGAGCACGACTCCTTGAAATCTTTGCTGGCTTTCAGCTCCTTGAGGAATATCTCGCGTGACAACGAATTGGTCTCGGTCGAATCGCTGGAGAAATCGGACGTGAGATCGTCGAATTCTGACGGAGGGGCTATCAAGGATGTTCGTTTTGTTCGTTCATTTGCTGCTCCGCCAGTAAGAAAGGATCGTAATCCTTGCCGCTGCAAAATACCAACAAGAATTTAACACGCTTCCTATTGATGTCGAAGACGTTTCTTTCGAGAACCGGTCGACTTTTCTTTCAACATTCCTGCGAAACGTCTTTCGGTACAATCGACGCAGTTTCGAAGATATTTCAGGTTCTACAGTGGATGATCGAATTAACAGAGACACCTGTGAAGAATTGACGGTTTTTGCATTTTAACGATTAATTTTTAGATAAATGCCTAGTTGCACTGAATTTTTTTTTTGTGAAACGTTGACATTTGCAAATTGCAAATACACACTTTGGCCAATATTATCTGTCTGTTATTTTGTATGAGTAGGTACTGCCAGTCGCATTGATCTTGAGCATTTGAATTTTTGCTGCCGTATTTTTACTGCTTATAATATACAGTAAATTACTTAAAATGCATTGAAAAATTGCAGCAAAAAGTGGCGCTATCAAGTAATAACTTTATTGTCACTTCTTAACTGTATTTTTTAACTTTCTATGTGAATATTTAGTGGACAATTGTCAATTGAAAGTTATTCAGAGTAAAAACCTTGATATTGTGATTTTATTTCTACACAAACACAAAAATGTGGCTCTAATAATTTGATCACCCACTGTAATCTTAGCTGACTCATCCTACACGAAGTCTACATGCATAAATTCGATTTGCTACGTTTGCAGGTTGTTATCTTTTGAAACTATCCCCTTATCGAACCTTGCTGTATCTTGCTACGAAATGATCAAAATGACCAATGCAAGAAAAGAAGTACTCGTCAGACAAAAAAGAAACGTCTTTTATCGTGGAACGTGAGTGCAGAGGGTGATTTAAGAACGAGTATCAAACAACAGTAACAAAAGTGCCGTGTATAAAACATAGAAAGAAGGATGCTAAGAGTAAAAGGAAAATTCGCACAGTCTCTTAAAACGTACCGAGCTTCTTCCCAGATTTTCTATAAAATCGACGAAATACTAAAGACAATGGGTAGTACGTATAGTATGTACAGAAAACATCGGAGAAACCTTTCAATCTTAAGCAAAGCATGTGTTGTTTGACCAGTTTCCAAAACAAATCTTTGCACGAAGTGATGGGTAAACTTGCGATACGCATGCGATGCAGGACAAACGAGGGGAACGTGCAAAGATTAAGTTTGCGGGTTTAAATGGACGATGACGATGTCGTAGTATGTCATTCAAGCTGTAATTGTCATTCCGTAAAAAATCAGCCTTCTGTGGAACGAGCTTTTCTAATGAAATTTCAACGTTTCACGGTGAAGAAAGGAAGAAGAGTTATTCTGGGAGGAATTAGAAATCTGCCGTGGCAATGCTCGTTCATCCGCCCGGAACTTACGTTCTACTGCTAAGTACGAGATTAAAATCCGGCCTTCTGCGCACGTAATTGCTCCACATGGGACGTAATGGCAGTTTTAAATTCCTATAATATTTCACGTGCGTTAGGAAAGAAGAATGCTTCACATTTGCGTTACAATTAACAATGACCAATGCTAGGATATCGTGGCTTTGGGTAACACCGAAGAGATTTCTCTCGAACTGTATTACTACAGCAGTTCGTCCAATGCAGCTCGTTAAAAATTGAGATTCGTACTGCTGATTAGATCAGCTGATTGTATTTAGGAATTTCTAACGAGCGTGTAACCTTGCTAATTATTTTTACGTTCAAAATTGAGATTTGGATCGCAGGTCAGGTATACTTATTTTTAAATCGTTTATATCTTTTTAATTCGAATAAGTTAGAGACAACGGTCTGATTTGAATTTGGAAGTAAATTTAAATCTGAGTAAACCCTTTCGCTGCTATTGTTAAGCTATTCGCTGCTTATAATTCAAGCCTTATTTTTCTCCTCTGCACCCTTCCACGTGAATTCAATAAAACAAATTTGCAAATTTGGCCAAAAGAGAAAAATTTTGTGGCCTTTAAAATTTGCCGCAGCGAAAGGGTTAAGAAGGTCAAGTCAAAAAGATTAATTTCATCTTCAGATTCACCTATCGAATCGTTCTAAAAAGAATACTCGATGAGAAGAAATTTTTGTATACATGAAGTTTGTTATCGAGTGCAGAATTCATGGTACCAGTAAATTAGCGAAACGTTGACAAAGGTGTCCTTAGTTTAAACAAGTATATTAACTTTCGACGGAGTTGTGATTATTCAAATTCAGGCGACGAACTTTGAAAAACTTTTCAACAATAAAAAAAACATCTTCTGAACGCCCATTCCTACCTTTGGTTTACCAAGGAAGCACTACTGGGAACAGGTGGAAGGATATGAACTTTCGGATTTCTTTTGTACAACTTGTTTGCCTTCTGATAAGGCGGATCGAGATTGATCAACCGATTCCTGGAAGCTTTCGAAGCTCTCTCCCAATAGGTTTGCGTATCAACCCTTTCCTTCTCGTCGTAAGTTTCCCTCACTGTCACAGTGTTTCCTTTGATCTCTGGTAGTATTCTGAATCTGATACTTCTGTTCCTAGTGCCAATTTCCTCGATCGTTTCCACTTCGACAGTCTCAACTTGCTTGCCACTGGCGAGATTTGTCACCAAACTGTCGCTACTCTCGTTCAGACTCGCAGAAATTCTATTCTCCATCTCGAACGCTTTCGATCGGCGAGATTTGAAGGCTGTCGATCGAGTCCTCGCCGATTCGCCGACTCGAACTCGTTGACTCAATTTCACGCGAGATTCTGATAACACTATCGATCGCGAATTTTGCGCGATCGTGTTGCTTTTGATGGACGAACATTTGAAGCCGTTTATTGCGTCCTTTATGTGGTGCTCGATACTATTGTCGCTGTCGTATTCGAAATCTTTGATCGATTCGTTTTTGTAGAGCTCTTGGACCTCTTCTTTCGTTGTGTCTATCTTGGAAGTTGATTTCTCCAGTGTTTTCGTTATGGTGCTACCTGAATCATTGTTGTCTTCGGTAATAGTAGAATGTTCCTTGTAATCGTGATTATTTTTTTTTAAGTTCGTTTTAATTTGACTTGACGAGGATTCGTTTTCCTTGGAATTAAAAGCAGTTTCGTTCAAATTCACTTCGGTACGTGTTTCTAAATGTTGTTCTATAATTTCGTATCGCTTCACATCGCTCGAGAAAGTAGAAACTTGCGGTTCAGAGTGAACAGTATTTTCAGGGGAATTAATGCAAGCATCGCCAACACCCTTTTCACATTTAGACTTTGAAGAAACTTCGTCTAAACATTCAGTGGCAACTTCTTTTTTAAGCATCTTTGGAAATTCTGTTTGCTTCTCTGTTTGCACTGTCGGAGACGCAGCTCTCGACAAGTTTTCTTCCTTCTCTTCTACCATAAAGGGTGGAATGTTCAGAAAGCTGTTACCTTCTTCTTGCAATTCCGGAGACGTAAGCCTCGAGATACTTTCTACATTTTTATCGAATTCACCGTGTTTTCGAAATTGTAAGATATCGTTATCAGAGTGAATCTTTTCCAATCGATGAATCTTACCGCGGGACGAAAGATTAGAACTTGAAGGACTCAAGTCTCTGTCTTCAACGCGGCACAACATCTCTGACCCCGTTTCCCTATCAATTTCCGTCTTCCACTCGAAGTTTTCCACAATTGGACACGATTCTTCCTCGATATTTTTATACAAATCGCATTTTTCATTAGAAAATTCCTCCACAGTCACAAACGGTGTGCTCGACCTGGTCGGTTCCAACAAACCTTTTACAAGAAAAGGATCGGCATCCATATCGATCCAATTTGTTTTAGTATCGAAGAATTCCATGTCGTCGTTCTTTGTGGAATATTCATTTTTTAAAGCTTGAATCGAGTTACTTGTGTCAATATTATATTCTTCATCGTCATTTTCGATACACTTAGCATCTGTTGTCTTAATTCCTCCGCTATTTGATCGATTATAATCCATTACTGATAAATTCGTTTCCTGATCTACATTTTGTTCTCTGTCAAGATCGCGAGCTTCAGCAAAAACGTCAAACTCATCGAGATACGCGTATCGTCTGCAAGAAGTTGAAGGTTGAAGATTTTCTTCGGACAAATGTGTCGAGCTTTCGTTCGTACTTTCTACAACTGTGTCAAGGCTTTCACTTATACACACGTCTTCTTGATTCGCGCAATCTAACGAGTTCCTCTTCTCCGTCCTAGATGCACCGTCATTGTCCTCCAAAGTATCGTCATTCGAGTTCACAATACCGAGGTAGTTACGAGAATTCTGTACATCATCTTTACAACTATTTTGCAGGAAGAAATTCTCGGATACTGTCAAGCTTAATCGCTTCTTCTCCAAAAGTCTGCTTCTCGAGGACTTGAAACCTTCGGAGGGCAGTTTCGTTTCTGAAGCTTCAGAATTTGAATCATCCTCCTCGGTTTGTATCAAACTTAACACACTTTCACCTACGAAACTTTTGGACGTTTCTTCTCCGATATTTTCAGTTTGGAAATTTCTAAAATCACTTGGAATTTTGCAATCGAAACCAATCGGAGAAGTAACAGTCTCGTCTATGAAATTGGACCTCCCTGGCTTCCACTTTTTATTCCTTGCAATTTGCACGTCGTTGTCCTTAGAATACGTTCGATTCAACGTTGGAGCGGTTGTCGGCCAATTATGACAACGATTACTGTCTCGACAGTTACTCGAACTGCTTTCACTTCTCGAACTTAATTTACTCGCTTCTTCGCCTAACACAAACTCGATATTTTCCAATTGCTTTTCGTACAGAAACGTGTCGATACGTTGCCCGTTCAGATTAGAAAAATTCATATTAACAGACAAATTTTGCATCTTCGTTCTTTCCTCGATATTCTCATTACAGTCTTTCTCTTCACTTATCTGTTTCCACGTGGTTAACTGATTTTTCCTGTATATATTGCAAGGTTTCACAATAACTCCCACGGTTTCATCGTTAATGGAAACGTCGTTGATCTTCGGGTTACCTTGACTCCTGGCCGAAACGATATTCGCTTTCAACGATCTGGCAGAATTCAGCTGTTGATGTTTCTCCTCTTGCTTCAGTTTTTGGGTCACTGTCTCCTCCCGTTGGACTTTTCCTCGTGTCCTTCTTGCTTGTTTCTTGCACAATCTCGGCGAGGTGACACTGTTCAACTCCTCGAGACTCTCTCTCTTTGATTTTAGAGGTGGAACAGGTAGGTGGGAGGTTCTTTTAGGAGGGAACGCAGGTCGAAAGGTTACCGGTCCAGCCTCGTCTTCCAGTAGCCTGAGGACGAGGGAAGAGGATCAAGGATGTGCATCTGACATCAGGAGAAGGTCGTCTTTTGCAAATATCCGATGTCGATGAAATATTCGGTAGTGGAAACAACCTTGTCCCTTTTCCTTCTCCTCATGCGCGCTACTAATGTATACTTAAACTGACAGCTCTGTGTATTCCCTGGGAAACGCGTTGAACGTGGTAGCGTGTGTAATCAGCGAAGGTTTACCTGTTTGCACGTTCCACTGGTCGGAGCTTCACCGAAGCTGGGGGATGGGAGGACTCTTTCATTTGTCCGGAACGTCTGCTGTAATAAGAGAATTCAAGAATTCTTTAATTTGCTTCTTCAAAAAAAGAAAAAAAATTCTATGCATCGTTCAAAATAAGAGTAACCGTCCGTTCTGCGCACAGACAGAGAGCGTAGCAGAGGGTAAGACGGAGAAAAACGTAGGCGGTTAAGTGAGGGTTTGGACGTTCTAGCCCTGCCTTAGGTACGTCCCATGCCCGAAACGAGGTTACTTTTATTTTGAATGATGTATATATTCATTGTGAGAGCTCATCAAAATTTTCTCGGTGTATATTGAGTATGTTCGCAGGATAAATTACGGTATGAATGTGAGAAACTAAATTATTAGAATTAATTGTAGTTTTATGTCAGCGAAAGACTGCGTAATTATAATTATAGCCCCGTTATTCATTAATTACTCTTAATTGGATTCATATAGGGAGAGATTCCTGGCCATGGGAATGTGGGGATTTTCTTTAACGAGAGTAATCTTCCCATACTGCATACATGTTTACTGAGATCTCCATTCACACACAGATATGTAATAAGACAGAAAGACAGTGTTCACGACACGAAAGATGTTGAAAATTCTGAGTGATCCTAATATTTTGGTCAGGAGCTGTAATTGCAGTTTCATCTTACAATGTTCTCTTTCTAAAGTTTACCTATTTCTAGACACCCAAGGGTGATGAAAGATTTTTAGAAGCAAACCGAGGAGTTTTGGGGGAGAACCGAAGAAAACTTACGCGACAGTTGATTTCTGTTTAACAGGACTGTCGTTGCTCTTGTTGCAATTCGGCGCAGAGACACTTTCTTTGGCCTTAACCAATTTTGGCGACGTTTTGTTGCCGGAATTAAGTGTGATCGCCGAACCGGGTGAATATTTCTCGCGGGTCATTTGACGACGATTCTTCACCGCTGGTGCACGATACTTCATCCGTGCCTCGAGGCGTTCCTTCGCGATATTCGCCGCTGGACTGAGCGAGACATGCGTGATCCTCTCCTTGCACCAGGCCACGTGTCTGTCGTAAGCCTTGACGCCGAAATGTCGATTGCAAGTTGGACATGTGCCCTGTTCATTCGCACGCGTCGGCGCATTTGATGTGACCGTTGTGCCGCCGTGCTTCTGCACCGTGTACTCCTCCACCTGTGAAATATGCACAGCAATTTTTGCGTTATTTCGTTTGCACGCTATCAGTGAAATTCGTAGAAAGAAAGATTGGAAGGTAGCTAGAATCTTGGAAAAATAAAGTACAGTAGGACCTCGTATAACGCGGTCAAAAAAAAAAAAAGGAGCGTACAAATTCTGAATTTTTCAATTTTCGAATTTTGGGTTAATTAAGTTTGACCCAAAAAGCGACGTCGGTGGAATTTAATTTGTATTGTACTCCCCGCGTTTATAGGCACTCATACTGTGATAGAAGACATCTGATTAAACACATTTGCTTTTGTTTTATAAGTTGGAGGATAGAAAAGAGAAACCAAAAATGGAAACGCATAACTGAAATTTTCTGCGTTGACACAAATGTACAACAGTAAATTCTCTACAAGAGTCAGTAAGTTTGGATTCTACAAGTGACAGTATAGATGGTCCTACGCCTAGGTTGCGTCATTGCTGCACTCATGTTATCTCGCTCACAGTCAGTCAACCCTGTAACACTACACCAGTCGGTTTCCTTTACGAGATTTCACGGCTCGACAAATGATAATAGAAAAATATAATTTCTTTAATTTTACTTTTTTTCATTTGGAATTTTTTTTAACACGGTGGTGAGATTTTTCTAATGAAAATGATATCAAACACGATATAATTTGAACAACATTTACTTATTAACACGTTCACTGTCGCGCCAGATTTACAGGTTGCTGTCAGGCGACCACAAGAAAATACATTTTAAGCATAGGATTATAGTATTATGCTTTATGTCTAGCTAGCTATGACGTTCAAAATTTTTAGTTGACAACATTTATTTTATTTTAATTATTCTAAACATTTGAGGCACTCCAGTCACTGATGACCACCATGACCATATCGAGGAAACAATCTAACGTTAAAACTTATTGAGTGATTAATTTAATTTCATAATATATCGCTTTAGCGAGCCACCGTTTGGTTGCCAATTGTTTATCACACAGAGTCGGCCTACTTCCACGTAAGAAAAAAAAAATATGTAGGGTCGATAGCAGCAGAAAAGCTGCTAAACAATTAGAATTAAATGTAACGATAGAAATTATTGCAATAATGCGTAATGCAATTGAAAAATTGAAAGAATCAAAAGAAAAAACGCGAATTCATATCTTTCTCGATTCTAGAATATAAGAAAATTTGAATAAAATACGCGACGAGAATTGGGGAGAAGCATAAGTTAAACGCGTAAAAATATTCAATAATAAACGAACTAGGGATGAAGCTATTATTTCAATACGCGATGCACTGACTCTAGTATTTACTAAAATTCAAAAATTCTCGTATAAATTCCGAAAATAGATTATTAATTACGGTAAACTACTGAGACGGTTTAATTTAGGGTGGGCATAGTGCACTCGTTCCAAATCATCTCACAATATACAATAATAAATCAACTAACTACTTAACATGCAATTCATGCAAATTCCTTGGATGGTAAATTATTAGTAAACAAAATTCAATATCAGAGAAAATATATGAAAAATTTAAAATTAATTTCAATTGCTGGAAGAAAAGTACATATTGATTGTTATGCCCTAACGAAAAAGCAACCACTCAAAGTCATTTCAATATCCTATTCGACAAGTCTGAAGAACAACGATGACTAAAATTCAAATGTTTATTTCCCTAAACCTTCAAAATAATTTCGAAATATTTTATTCGAAACGGAGTATTCCAAGTCAGTATCGATAATTGAAGAAATTATTTGATTGTATTTAAAAGAACCGAAAGGAGAATATTTAAAGTCTGATATTAAATGTCTAGCAAGTACCAGTAATTGGTAAAATGATTTATATTTGTTTTAAAAGGAAAATTTCTAATAGGTATTAGTTAAAATGAATTGTTATTCAGTCTATTGTATTGAAATTCTAATTGATTCTAATGTATACAAGTGTTACAAGAAGGCTGAGTGTGTACAGGGTGGACACTGACTCTAGTATTTACTAAAATTCAAAAATTCTCGTATAAATTCCGAAAATAGATTATTAATTACGGTAAACTACTGAGACGGTTTAATTAAGGGTGGGCATGGTGCTGCTTTAGTTTGAAATGATTTATAAACACATAATTAACAGAGGAAAAACCGTGAAACGGCAAAACGTCTACATTCTAATTGTTATAACATGTAAACAGAACTTTAAATTTAGTGTAAACAGAAAAAATATATAATACAATTTATTTCACGGTATTGCAACAAATAAACGTTGAATCAATATTTAATTCGTATAAAAACAATTATTTAACGTAATAATTTTACCTTCACTATGGCTATTTTTAATCTACGACCACAGGTCAACCTGATTTCTAATCCTTACGAACTTTAAATTCAGTCTAAACTGAGAAAATATATAATACAATTTATTTCACGGTATTGCAACAAACAAACGTTGAATAGATTCTTAATTCGTATAGAAACATTTATTTAAAATAATAATTTCACCTTCACTATGGCTATTTTAAATTTACGACCAAGGGTCAACCTGATTTTTAATCCTCCGAACTTGATTTCACAACGAGAAAGTAATAAGATCGTTGAAACGTACTTATTTGTCAAAGAAACTTGCAAAAATGTATAAATAATAATATGTAATGTTTTAACAAATTTTTGGAAGTATAAATTAATAATAAAATTGTGAAAATTAATAAATTATACGTTATTATAACATTAATAGAATTATGACTAAACCGAAGTTCGAAGTCGAGTATTTAAAGTCTGATATTACGTGCCTAGCGAGTGCCGGTAATTGTTAAAATTTGTTTAATAATTAGTAATAGAAATTCTAATTGATTCTAATGTATACAAGTGTTACAAGAAGGCTGAGTGTGTACAGGGTGGACATAGACTAGCTAGTAGCCCCCGACCACTCTATTCACATCTCAGAACCTTCAGGTCAAAATACGCCGCGAAGTGTCTAGGGCCCAGTATAAAGGGTAAATGATTTCGCGGGACATCGGCGGGTCCTTATATACCTGCGGTACCCTCTCCCCAAAGTCATTAGCAAAATCGTCGGTTAGGTCAGGCGGGAAATTTTCGCGGGAGATTTTCGCGGGAGATTTCCGATATCGTAACACGGTATAATTTATCAATTTTCACAATTTTATTAAAAATTTATACTTCCGACAATTTGTTATAACATTGCATATAACAATTTATACGTTTTTACAATATTCTTCAATGGAAACATAGGTTTTAGCGTTCTCGTTACTTACTCGTGGTTAAATTAATTTCGTAGGGATTAAAAATCAGGTTGACCTGTGGTCGTAGATTAAAAATAACCATAGTACAGCTAAATTTATCGTGTTAAATAATTCTTCTTACACGAATGAAAAATGTATTCAACGTTTGCTTGTTACAATACCATGAAATAAAT